GTATTTTAACAATACAGTAAGCTAGAGAAAAAGTGTTATTAAGAAAATCATAAGGAAGAGAAAATACATTTACAGTGATGTGCAGCCACAAGCAGATAGTTAAGGAAGGATTCTTGAAATGTTTTCAGTGCAAAAAGGTGCATTTATTATAGCACGGGGACAGGACCGATGAGCAGAAAGAGCTGCACTTGTGTTTGTGAGGAGTGACTGATTGAATACTTTTTAGTTAGTGGGGGTTAGGGATAGTGTAAGTCTGTAAGGAATTTGGAAACAAGGCTTCCAGGACTTTGAGGAGCCAGCAGTGGCTAAGATAAGGTTATGTGCCACTGTCTACTAAAACATTAGTCTTGAGACCCTTCAGATGTATACTTGCGGGCCATATGCTTGTTAGGTAATTGCTAACGTATATCTTGGGAGGTATTTATGGCTATAAGAGGAAAAGTAACTCTAACACTAACAAGAGCAAAGCTATATTGGTAAAATACAGGTAAGAGGAAGTCCTTGCGGGAGCTGTAGGAGTGTTACAATCTGTATGCCTCAGGAGTTCTGCCTGGAGACTGTGAGTAACAGAGCTACAACAAGGCCTGGCCTTTGTTTCTTTTTCTCCCATCATACGGTACTATATTTATTGAAAAAAAAAAATCCGTGTATCAGTGGACCTGTGGAGTTCAAACCCATGTTGCTCAAGGGCCAACTACATATTCTCAAGTGCATTAAGACTGAATATGATATAGTCACTTTTTATATATATTGGTCACCAAATCATATTTTTATTACATAAAGATAAATGAAACAGCATATTAAATGTGAAAAATGTTTTGTCATATACTATGAATGTTCTTTAAGATTTTACGTGAACTTTATAACACAATCTTTCATATTCTAAAGATAGAAGATAGATATTTTTAGCCAAAATCAATCACTTCTTTATCAGACTATTCAAAAATGACAAATTATTTTAAATTTCCTAGGAGTGTTTTGTGAATCAAAAAGGGTTAGGACCCCCTCACCCCAAAATGACTCTTCACCTGAGAGAAATAGCATCTCTGCGCCTTACAGCCAAGCAGAGCCCTGTTAACACATCCTTCAATGCACACAGCCCCAGTTCCTCTGATGGTGTCCCTGGGCACCTGAGAGTCAGACAGGTGAATTCCTAAAAGGAATTCATCACTGTCACCAACTGGCTCTAGCTTTCCATGGTACCATGCCCTTTTCCTGTATATGCCTTCTGGTGAATGCTACTACCCGCACCCAGCCCTTCAACAGACAGGCTAGGCTTGGACTGGGGCTGAGGTCAGAAAGGCCTTAACTCAATGAAGGGGCAGGAAAGTTTTCCTAGAGGAGGTGACCCATGAGTAGGAACCTAAAGGGGAAGGTGTTCCAAAGGAACTTGTGCAAAGGAAATGAGGGTCAGAGGCAATGACGTGGGTGACTGAATCCATTTCACAGTAATTTCAAAGCACAGCAGGGTACATTGTCCTGGGGTGTCATTGGCATCTACTGCTTTCCAAGTCCTGTGACCCATCCCCATGGGCATCTCAAAAGACCTATCACCTCCAGGGCCTGTGTGGCTCCCCAACATTGCCCAGTTTCTCTCCATCTCCTGGGGAATGGACAGGTCTGCATTTATTCATTGAGAGCAGGGCCTGCTAGGGCCTTACAGTGTACCCAGGGGTGAGGCTGGGTCCAGTGAATCCCTCCTTTCATTCTTCACACCAGTTATGTCTGCAGAGTTCTGGACAGGGATCTTGCTGGAGACAGGTTTGTTGTTGTTGTTGTTGTTGTTGTTTTTAAGTTTATTTATTTATTTTGAGAGAGAGCATGCCTGTGCAAGCAGGGGAGGGGCAGAGAGAGAGAGAGAGAGAGAAAGAGAGAGAATACCAAGCAGACTCTGCACTGTCAGGCTGTCAGTCCTACGTGGGGTTTGAGCTCAAGAACCATGAGACATGACCTGAGCCAGATCAAGAGTAGGATGCTCAACCGACTGAGCCACCAGGGCGACTGACAGTTTTATCACAGTTCCCTACAACCCATGATTCACTGTCAAGTGTACCTGCAAGAGACGTTGCTACTCTTCCAGAGGTCGCCCCTGGAGCGAACTGTTGAGCCCTGAGGCAGGACATTGGGCTGCTGGCCAGGTTAGCCACCCACTCCTGTGCAACCTCAAGTCAGATGCTTTTCCTTTCTGGGCGAGGGATTTGCCAGATGAAATCAGCTGCATCCTTTCACTCTCAGGGACCTTAATTTTTTCGGGGCGAAGAACTGAGCCCCTAAGCCCTGCTCTCCACAAGGGCTTTTCTGCCTCCTGTCCTTCCACGAGTTTCTGTCCCCTGGGACTTTTTATATCATGGAACCTCTGTACTTGTTCTTCCCTCTGCCTGGAATCCTTTTCGCTCTTCTGGCCAACACCTCTTTCAGCCCTCAGTCCTAACTCAAATGCGGTCATTTCCCAGAGAGCATTGCCTCTTCCCTTCAGTCCCTTCGTCCTCTGTGCTGCAACTCGCCGTCAAGCTGTGTGCGCCTCACGTCCGTGTCGCCTCTCCTCACAGATCTTGAGCACCTCGAGGGCAGGGTCCGGGTATGAGGGGTCTCTAGCTCAGAGGGCAGCTTGTCCAGGCGGGCCGTGGGCGATCTTCCGTTACTTCTGAACTCGGTCCAGGCGCGGAGGGGTTAATGACCCGGCCCGGGAGTGTGCCCACAGGCCTGGGGGAAGCCGCCCAGAGCCCGCGACTTCCATCACCGCATATTGCCGCGGACAGCAATGGGAGCCCAGACGTAGGTGAGGATTTTTGGTGCGGTCCGGGTGGTGTAGACCCTGGCGGGGGGCGGCTTCCCCCCATATTAGCGTTGCTTTCTCCCCCCAGCAGACGCTCTTAGTACAATCCGGGGATTCCCCGCCGCTGCCGCCCCCTGACGTCACGGAGTCCCCCGAGGCCCCGCCCCGGTTTCGCCTCCTTCCGCGGGAGGTGCGCGCGGTGCAGGCGCGGGAGCTGCCATGGAGGGGCCCGGCGCCCCCGGTGTCCCCTGGAAACGCCACATAGTGCGGCAGCTTCGGCAGCGGGACCGCACGCAAAAGGCACTCTTCCTGGAACTGGTGCCTGCCTGTGAGTGCGCCACGGGGGTCTTGGAAGATGGCAGTGGAGGGGATGGGGCTCCGGGCGCGGACGGAGTGTTGTCTGGCTCCTCGGGCTGTCACCCGTGTGCAGCAATGCCTTCTCGCCTCCAAAGCCTTGGCCCTGCCGGACCTTCGGTCCGTTAAACCTCTGCCTGGCCAACATTCCCGCGCTTCCCTGTCCAGGTTCTGCTTACAGCCCCTTCCTGGACGGAGCTCCCTCCTCGTGCTCCTGCCCTCCTCTCTCCTCAGGGGGCGGCCTCTCCCCAGGCTGGGCTTCCTGGGCATGGCTTCGTTAGCGAGTGTGGGTGTTTTAGGGTCTCTATGCTTCTTCCCTTTCCCGTGCGGTCCCCAGGGTACAACCCAAGTCAATTCATTTGGTCCCTGTGGCCCAGTGAAAGAATTCCAGAGTAGCTGGAGATTCTAAACTCTGAATCTCTTAGGGAGGAAGCTCAGAGTCCCAGGCTTTGCCACTGACAAGTGATCCTGGCTCAGGTTTTTGGAGCACTTCTGTGCTTGGGCAACTGAAGCCTCTAGAGAGAACTGGCTGCTGGTGAACCCAAGAAGTCATACTCTCACAGGTGTTTCTGGGGCGCTGGTCAGGAGTGGGTATGGCAGTTCAAGCCAGGATGAGCAGGTGTACAGTTGTGTGAGTGCCTCTGGTCATTCAAGATTGTAGGTCTGGGGTGGAAAGTCCAACCACTATTCCTCCAGCTCCATCACTGGTCCTAATTTTAGCTGCTGCTTAACTATCTCCCCCCCGCCCCCCAAACTGAATTTGCTGCTTTTGTCCTGGGTGATTTCCCTGCAGCCTTCTAGGCTGCTGGTCCTCTCCCTCAGGGACGTGAGGCCAGCCTCACTTCTCCACTGCTCTGGTGGACAATGGAACCATCCAACTTGAGGGAAGAGCCTCCTCTCCCTCCCCATCCCCCAGCTGCAATTTGTGTGACTCTGGAGGGCTGAGATCAGACAGTGAAGCTCTAGTCTTCTCTGTGGTCTTGGGTGGGTTATATCCTTAAACCACCAATTTCTCACCCATAAATTAGGCAAACAGCATCTTTAGAGTTGCTGGGAAGTCAGTGCAGTGCCCTGGGGGCTGGGTTGGGGTTTTGTGTGAGAACTAGGCCAGTGACCTAAGTTAAAGGTGACAGGCAGGGGACTGGGTGAAGGAAATTTGCTGAGGAGCTAAACCTGGGATTACCACCCCCACCCTACCCTGAAACTGGTGAGAAAGAGGAAGGGAGTGTGGTGGGGGTAGAGGGAGACATTCCAGGGTCTGTAGCAAAAACTACCAAACTCGAGGAGGTCTGCTACATAATTGTTCAAGGACTTTCTCTTCTGGCCTGGAGGAAACTTACTTACCCCAAATGTGGGAAAGACAGGACTGTTTTTTAGTGTACAAAGTAAGAGGCCCTGGAGGGGAAGTAATTTACCAAAGGCCACTAGCAGGTGGAGCTTGGTGTGTTTCATCATTCTTTGGGGCAAAGCCTTGCTCTGGGGCAAGACTGAATCAATCTCTGGCCCCTTCCTTCCCTCAGGACCCTGAGTGGGCAGTGAGGCCAGCCATATACTTCCCCAGTGGTGGTTGTCTTTCTCTGTCCTCAGGAGAGTAGGTTTCCTGGGAGGGCCTGTGGGCAGATGCTGTAAGGAGGGTCTGCCAGGGCTGAAGGTCTGGTAGAGCTACACAGACACCCCTCAGGCAAAGGGCAGCGCCCAGACTGTCAGCAGCTCCCTCGTTCTGCATCTCTGGGTATGCAGACTCCAGGTATGCCTGGAGTCTGTTGCAAGTGTCTGTCTCTGTCCCAGGTTCACCCTCTTGCACCCCTAGATAACCATCTCCTAGAGAAGGCTGAATTGTTGGCCCGGATCTCAGAGAAGCTGCAGCCAGAGCCAAACGATGCCACTCCTGCTACGCACCAGGGCCCCTGGTGAGTGTATGTGTATACCTGGTTATGATGAGCTGCCTGTGCCTGGGTCCTGCCCCCACTGCCTGTCCTGGGTTCATTCTCTCTCTGGCACCTCATTGGTCCTTAACTGCTACCCAGGGGAGGGAGGAAGTGGACTCTTGAGGCTTCTTCCAAGCCAGCTGCTTAGAATGGCCTTTCTCCACCACCCTGCTCAATCCAGCTCCGCATTTGTCTCATCTCTTCCCTTTCCACGCCCACACTCCTGCCTTTTCTCCTCTTCTCTTTTTGTCTTCTTACCCTTACCTGATGCAGACAGAAAGGGTCTTTGCTACATATTCCAAAGAGAGAGTAGGGTCTTGCTACATATTCCAAAGGGGGAATGAAGATGAGAACCAGGAATGGGCTGGGCCTCAGAGTTTGGAGGTGCTTTAAAAAAACTTTTTAAAAAAAAATATTTATTTACTCTTGAGGGAGAGAGACAGAGTGTGAACAGGGGAGGGGCAGAGAAAGAGGGAGACACAGAATCCGAAGCAGGCTCCAGGCTTCGAGCTGTCAGCACAGAGCCTGATGCAGGGCTCGAACTCACGAATCACAAGATCATGAGCTGAGCTGAAGTTGTATGCTTACCTGACGGAGCCACCCAGGTGCCCCATGGGAGGTGCTTCTTGAGGAGGGTCCTGGCTAGGTAACCCAAGGCCTGGGGAAATCCCAGAGCAGAGGAGTCATGGGTAGTTCCAGTTTTTGGAGACTTGCTCTTTCTTCTGCTGGCTTTCTGGCTTCCACCCTCTGCAGGTGAAAGTTCATGGCTTTGGTTTCAGGCTTTTTGTGTGCATCCTGTGGGTGAATGGAGGGACAATGAATGCCACTCTTACTGGTTGACAGGGAGGAGGAATCGGAGCCCGATTCAGACCAAGTCCCTTCACCAACCACTCTGAGGATGAAGTGGCAAGAGGAGGAGGAGGGGCTCCGGCTGGTCTGTGGTGAGGTAGGCTGGACGGGGGTCTGAGAGAGAATGGGGTGGAGCCACAATCCAGGACTTTGGGTGGTCCAAGGGGTCCAGCAAACGAGGGACATTCCCCAACTCTGGTGCCAGAGTGCTCTCTAGTTTGGTTCTGGCAGCCCAGTTCGGGTCTTCAACAGCAGCTAGAGGATGTGAGGTAGAGCTCAGAGAGGAGTATGAGGTGTGCAAGGCCAGACGACCTCTATTCCCCCTTCCAGACCGTCCTGCCTGCTTTGTTCACAGCTTGCCTCACCAACCCCAGGGTCTAGCACCTGCTGATGCACAGCACGAGTTTGCAGACCAAATGAGTAAGGTGGTCCACCTCCACATGGCAGGGTGTGCTACCTCCACCTGACACTGCTGCCCCCACCCTATGGTGTCTCTTGTCTTCTGTTTCACCACACCATCCAGGTTTCCTCTCATTTCTGTAACAGTTACTTCTAAGCTTCCTTCTTTGTCTCCTTCCCTCCTCCCTACAGATGTGGGTGTTCCTTGGAGGTAGGGTGGGTTCACTGACTCCTGTGGCCTCAAAGACTTTCTCTGTTTGCTTATTCCCAGACTTGTCTCTAGCCTGGCCTTCTCTCATGAGCTCCACAGTCTTTGTTCAGCTGGTCTTTGGACATCACATCTAAAATTAGACTCACCATATCCCCCATAATATATGGCCAGCAGCACATTGAGAGGTGACTCCTGCAGGCATTGGGCTAAAACATTATTTCAGCTATTCCTTTACAACTTTAGAGCAGGAAACTGAGGCTTAGAGAAGTGGAGTCAGGATTTGAACACCCTTCCACATGAATCCACCTTCTCTGATCCCCATCCATTCTTTCAACAAAGATTTATTGACAATAGTTATATTGTCACAGGCACAGGATAAGAACAAGACCCGGCCCCATGGAGCTTCCAGTCCATTGGAGGAAACTGATAGGCCATAAACACATGCCCAGTTACAGCATGCCACATTACTTGCCCAACTAGTGTGGGAATGGAGCTAGGAACCCAGTGAGAGCCTCTCCCTCAGAGCCCCTGTTGTAGTTGCAACTTGACATTTGTGGCACTTTCTGGGCTGTGAGATCCCCAAGGCCTGGGATGCCTATGGTTTGCTTCCACTGATCCCTGGGGTCTGTCTCCACAGTCCATGCTAATGAATATTTGTGAACTAAATGATGGATGAGGTAGCCCCCCCTCCCCAACTGGCAGTCACTGGGCTGAAAACTCAGGGGGGACCTATGGTCTCTCCCAGCCCTCCATCCTCAGCTAGTCACCAGCTCATTGATCCTACCTTCAAATCCACCAAGTCTCTGTTGGCTTGGCCCAAGTACCCTCATCCTTTCCTGGATGATCTCTCCCTTGACATGCCCATCCATTCTCTGCACAGCACATAGAGTGATATACTTAATAATAAAAAGATCTCCCTTAAAAAAAGACAATACACACAAACATGCTCGTTGTAAACATTTCAAGAAAACAGAAGCCCATAGAGTAAAGAAGTGAAACCCCCTTCACTATCTCTCCCATTGTCAGTTTGGTATATATCCTCTAGAACCCTTTAGCCTGCCTTCCCAGTGGAGTTCTCTAGCCCCCTGTTGCATTTCCTGCCACTCTCCAATCTCTGACCTTATGGTCCCCTTTGTGTGGGACACTTTCACAAATGTCTTGCCCTTAGCACTCTCTCCCTGGCACTTCCTCAGAGTCACACCAGTGTGTATTCCCACTGGATATGCCAGGGGATGGGGAGCGGCTTTTTCTGTAATTCTTAGTACTGTTTCACATATCACAACAAGCATTAATCATTATTTTAACTTTTTTGGGGAAGTAATTATAGATTCATGGGAAGTAGCAAAGACTGGCTACATCTTGTGTAACTATAGTACACACAATGAGGAAACTGATATTGGTATGAAATGTACATACATTTCTTTGTCATGTTGTTCCCTATGTGGATTTGTGCAAGATACAGCATAATTTAATGACCACAAAGATCTCCGTCTTGCTATCCTTTTTGGTCACAACTCAACCCTCTCCCCCAACCATCCCTAGCCTGGCAACCACTAATCTGTTTTCCACCTGTATTATTTGGATTTTGAAAAGCATCCCCAAAATATTGAATAACAAAGCATTAATGAAAGTAAAATGACAGGTGAGGAAGCAGAAGTGGAGGTCAGACTGTTCAGTGCTGAAAGGAATTACAAACGTTAGAGATTGGGCCAGCTAGGAAAGTAGGCACATGCAGGACCACTCATTTAGGGAGATGTGTCTGCAGGTGAGTGGCACTAACCTTGTTCTTCAGTTCATCCCTCACCAGGCCCATGTGAGAAAGAACACAGGAACAGGTTAGCAACCAGGGCCCCAGCCTCAGTTATTTCCTATGTTCCTCGTGTCACCTAGTAGGAACTGCTTCGCCTGAGGTCCATCTTTCCCACTGACCCCTCAGCTCTAAAAAGTGGAACTTGAGCTGGGCGCCTGGGTGGCTCAGTTGGTTGAGCATCTGACTTCTGCTCAGGTCATGATCTCATGATTTGTGAGTTTGAGCCCCACATCACGCTCACTGCTGTCAGCACAGAGCCTACTTTGGATCCTCTGTCCGCCCCCCTCTCTGCCCCTCCCCCACTCATTCTCTCTCTCTCTCTCTCTCTCTCTCTCTCAAATAAATATTTAAGGGGCACCTGGGTGGCTCAGTCGGTTAAGCGTCCAACTTTGGCTCAGGTCATGATCTCGCAATTTGTGGGTTTGAGCCCTGCGTTGGGCTCTGTGTTGACAGCTCAGAGCCTGGAGCCTGCTTCAGATTCTGTGTCTCCCTCTCTCTCTGCTTCTGTCTCTCTCTCTCTCAAAAATAAATAAATATTAAAAAATAAATATTAAAAAAAAAGTGGGACTTGAGCTTTGTCTGTGGCTTTCCAGCTCTTGCTTGAAGGACTGTTTTGAATGAGGCAGGGGTATGGATGAGGTAACCCTCACCCCCACTCTTGGGCTGGGGGCAGCTCCAGCATTCAGTCTGGGCTCCGTGCTCCCAGAGTCTATTCTTGTTCTTGCCTTTGTGCCTCTGCTTAGTGCTCCTTGTTGCTCTCAGGGATTTATGTTGGGTAGGTCAGGGGTTAGAGACGTGGGAAACAGAGCCCACATCCCTGGAACCTTTTCTGTAGATCTGTCCTGTACTTGGAGCATAATGTTAGGTGGCCTGGGTTCACCCATCAGCTCTGCCGCTTAGCTGTGTAATTTTGTCAAGATCCTAAACCTCTCTGCGCCAATGTCCTCTTCTGTAATATGGGGAAAGTGGCAGGACCTGGTGTGGTTATAGTGATTAAGAGAGTTAATACATATATAGTACTCAGAACAAGGCATTACACACGTGCCATATAAACGTTTACTATTACCCGAAATATTACTCCTAATATTACCCTGTGAGGTAAGCACTATCATTCCCATTTTACAGGTGAGGAAACAGAGTAGGTTCAGAGAAGCTAAATGACTACCCTGGGGTCACACAGAAAATAAGTGGCACTGCCAGGACTGAAACTCAGGTGAAACTCCAGAGCCTAAAGGCCCTTCCATTGTTCCACAAAAGCAGTAGGGCGTTCCTGTGCAGGATCCTAAACGTATCTGAGCCTCTGCTTTCTTTTCAGTTAGGGGGCGGGTGGGTGGAGTAGCAGAGTCTGTCCCACCAGCCTCCCCTGGGGGAGGGGCTGGGGGCAAGTTGGGAGCCCTGCAGAGGCGCCCACGCCCACCCAACTGCGGGCCCCGACCACCCCCAGATGGCCTACCAGGTGGTGGAGAAGAGCGCAGCCCTGGGCGCCCTGGAGTCGACGCTGGAGGAGCGGCAGAGCAGGTGAGGCGCCGCCAGGGCGAGGGGGACCCGCTCACTTCTGGGTGGCTCGGGGCCATCTCTGCCCGGGGACGGGGTGACCCTGCGTGTCTCCAGCACGGCCCGAGGGCTTTCCCCACGTATTGGGCTCTGCGGCCCCGAACGGTAGGCCTGAGTGGAAGACGTGATTGGAGACTTGGCTTTGCTCCCTGCCTGACCGCGTGACATGGGCAAGTCCGTCCGCCTCTGAGACCCGCTCCCACTGGGCGACTACGGAGAGTCTCTCCCTTACCCCCTCCTCCAGGCTGGCGGCTCTGGAGGCCCGTGTGGCGCAGCTGCAGGAGGCGCGGGCTCAGCAGACCCGGCACCTGGACGCGCAGCGGGCGCTGAACGTAGCGCAGCGGGCGGCGTACGAGGCGCTCCGCGCGCAAGCCGGGCTCCAGGAGGCGGCCCTGCGTAGGCACGAGGAGGAGGCACGTGACCTGCTGGAGTGGCTCGTGCAGCGCAAGGCGCGCGCTGCCGCCGAGCGCAACCTGCGCAATGAGCGCCACGAGAGGTGAGCGCGCCGGGCCCCGCCCCTCGGAGACTCGAGCGTCGTGCTCCTTTGGGGGCGGGCACGGTTCGAGCTTCACTGCCCCGCCTCGTGGCGCGTCAGGGCGGGATCCGGCTCTCGGGACGATTTTCTCCCCCCAGGGCCAAGCAGGCGCGGATGTCCCTGGAGCTAAAGAAGGCTGCCAAGCGGACAGTGAGCATCAGCGAGTAAGAGTCAGGGTGCGCCAGGTCCTGCCCGCCGAGGGTTTGCAGCCCGTTCTTCCCCGCGTGCTCTAAAGCGCTCTTTTCTTTGACTTCTGCCTGCAATTCTACCCTGTCCCCCACGTGTCCGCAAGAGGCTTCCACCTAGACTGAGCGCACAGATCACGTGCAGACTCGTGTGGTCAGAGGAGCCCAAACGCCTGCCCGCCACACGTGTGCCCGCACAGACTGCTCTTCACAGTGTTGGGCGCCGGGGCGGGGCGGGGGGCGGGTCAGGGAGGGGCTGGTCCCTTGGCCTTACTGAGTTTCACCCCCTCTCCCAGGAGTCCAAACACTGTAGGTGATGGGATCAGAGAGATGGCTGAGACTGTGACCCTGACTGCTGAGCCCCTATCCCTGGAGACTGAGGCTGGTGAGAAGTGGAAGAGGCCCTTCAGGTGAGGACTGTCCCAGAGCTCTGAGCCGGGCCCCACTCTGGAGTCTCCTCTAGGGCCTTGGGGCCAGCTCTTGGGCTGAGCTTGGGGAGACGTGGCAGTACAGGTCACACCTCCCAGGACAGGTCTGATCTCCAGTGCTTGGAGTCTCTTAGGATCATTGCGGCCTTAGGGACTCCAGCGCCTCTTTCTCTCCTTCTCAGGACTAGAGCTCTGGGGGTGGGGTGTCAGGCTGCTGAAAGGGTGTCACCAGGAGGGACCCTGTGGGGAAGGCCCAGGACTCAGCTGTCACAGGCATGTGTGTAGGCATAGGTGTACAAGCACATGTACTCACATGGACGTGAGAGCACATGTGTACACACCTGGGGGAGCATATCGGAGTACATGTGAACATGTGAGCATGTATAGGTGTGAGCTCACATGGACTGTGTGCTGAAGCCCACAGACTGGGGCTTCAGTCCGTGAGGGCCCCTCCCCTCAGTCTCCCCATTTGTCTCCATTTATCTCTCATTGAAACTGCCTTCCCCCCATCCTTACTCCATTCCCCAGCCTGAAGGCTTCTCTTTCAGCCCTTCCTTGCAGATCACTGGTATCCATGCCTGGGGGCAGTGAAAGAACTTTGGGGAGGAGCTTGAAATGCTGGTCCTGAAAGTTCTTGGCAGCCTTTGTGGGCCAAGTACTCCCAGGACACACCTTCTTCTGGGCATTATTTTTAATGTTTGTTTTTAATTTTTGAGAGCGAGAGGGCACGAGCAGGGGAGGGGCAAAGAGAGAGAAGGAGCCAGAGGATCAAAAGCAGGCTCTGTGTTGACAGCAGTGAGCCCCTGTGGGGCTCGAACTCACAAACTGTGAGATCATGACCTGAGGCGAAGTCAGATGCTCAACAAAGTGAGCCACCCAGGCGCCCCTCTTGTGGGCACTTTTGAGGTCACTCAGCAAGCTTAGGTTTTACCACCCCCGGTAACTCCAGCCTTGTGGTATCCCAGCCTCAGGGTACCTTCACCCTTTCCCCTGTAGGCCCCAGCTCAGCCTTCCCAGAACTTTTTGTGGGGGGGGGCATTTGGGTGGTGAGGCAGTTCTTACCATCATGGCGGAAACTTTGGGAGACTTCATTGCCACATCCCTCCCTGCCTCCACCTTCCTGGGACTGCTCCAGGTCATCGTATTCTCCTGGTCTGGGAGGAACCAAGTTCTTGTCCCAGGCTTGAGTGGCTGTGAGCCTCAGGGTCCCCAGCAGAGTGCAGGGATGAATGGCTGCACACTCACTGGCCAGTCCCTTAGCATATCTCTTTCGATTCTACCCCAGGTCTGCCTCCGCCACCTCCTTGACGCTCTCCCGCTGTGTGGATGTGGTGAAGGGGCTTCTGGAGTAAGTGTGTGTGTGTGTGTGTGTGTGTGTGTGTGTGTGTGTGTGTGTGTGTGTGAGTGAAGGGGTTGGGCCCCTTAGAGGCCTGTGTCAGGCTTCTGGCGTCCAGGCTTGGTCTGTGTATGTGCCTCAATCTGTCTGTCCATGTGTTGTCCAGTTGTCTGTGTGAGTCTCTGCTGCCTCTCCCTGAGCTCATTCCAGGCCCTGCCTGGCTGTCCTCCACTCTTTGTCCCTCATCCATGGTCCATGGACCAAGGTCTGCAGTCTGAGCCTGGATGGGAACTATCACTCAGGAAAAGGCTCAGATGTGTCAGGACTTGTTCTGAGTTCCAGAGCCAAGTGGTAGCAAGGCTAAGACTGAAACCCCAGTCCTGAGGTTCCTCTGCATCCATCAACTCTACTCTCTGCCCTTCTCATCTCCACACTGACCCCTGGGGTCAGAGACTGCGTTGGGAACAAGCTTGCTGCACCTCTGGGCCATGTTTTGCCACCATTCGTGTTTGCTTCCTATTGCTGTTGCCTCAAGAGTATGAGGCTCCCGTGTCAGAAGGCCTTGCCAAATGCCTTCCTGACACCTGCCCCCCACCCAGTTTCAAGAAGAGGAGAGGCCACTCTGTTGGAGGAGCTCCTGAACAGCGATACCAGAGCATCCCTGTGTGCGTGGCCGTCCAGCCTCCTACCCAGGTTCAGGATGTGCTGGTAAGGGAGGAGCTGGGCCACATGCATGGGGTGCTGACATGGAGAGTGTAGGTTCCAGGGGTCATCCAGGGAGGCCAGGGAAGCAAGGCTGGGCACCTCACCAGGAGCACAAGCTTTCTTTCCCCAGCCTGTAGTAGAAGTCTCTCAGCATTTTATAATCGGCATGGACTGGAGAGGGAGAGCAGGAGGCCAGGCAGGGGAGTATGAGGATGTGTAGCGGGAGGCTGCTGCAGGGCTGATGAGACCCGATGTGTGCGTGTGTGCGTGTGAGAGGGACCCTGTGAGCCTGTGCCAAGAGGTACGTATGGTGAGGACCAGGGCCACCACTGTCTCTTTTTCCCATAGAATGCCCACCTCTCCGAGGTCAATGCTGTTTGTTTTGGCCCCAATAGCAGCCTCCTGGCCACTGGAGGGGCTGACCGCTTCATCCATCTCTGGAACGTTGTGGGAGGTGAGGGTTCCTCCTCTGTGGGCCAACCTAGTGCTTTCTCTCCAGACCCCACCCTCAACTTGCTCCTTGGTGGGCAAAGGTCTTGGATCTGTTTGTGTTTCCTCACATGTAACATTCTTAAGAGCAGTGGCCAAATGGCCCCTTGGCAAGAGTTCTGGGCCAAGCCTCCCAGCTCTTGGGGTCCAGGCCTGCAGGATGGGGAGGGCTGAGCTCAGATGGTCCCTATTTGGGGAGGTGGGGGTCCCTTATCCTTAGGTCCTGTAGGGGCCCTTGAGGAGCCGGTCCCTGGGGTCCACCAGTGGCCTCCTCTTCTGGTATCACTTGAGCTCTTAGAACTCAGGAGATGAGTGTTGGCTGTTTACCCTGTGCTTGTAGAGGCGGGTGTGTTGACGAGTCACAGTTAGCTCCTGGAGACTTCCTAGAGAAAGTCTTGGCCCTGGCTTGCCCTGTGACCTAGTGACAGTCCCTTGTCTGTGGTCCTCTGTAGCCCTGCTGTTCCCTGGAGCCCCCTGCTGGTAATTTGGGGGAGGTGCAGTCTCCAGCCCAGGTCCCCAGAGTTTTGTTCTCTAACTTGGGAGAGACTGATCTTCCCAGCTCCTCCTTTTCATGAGGTTAGTGACCCCACTTCACCTGTCCTTTCCCCGGTCCCCCCAGGTCGTCTGGAGGCCAACCAGACCCTTGAAGGAGCTGGTGGCAGCATCACCAGCGTGGACTTTGACCCTTCGGTGAGGGACCTTTGCCTCAGTGGCATGGAATGCCTGTTGTGTGTGCCCCCCTGCCCATCTCCACACTGAGCAGGTGGAGGCTCTGGGACATAAGGGAACATCATGGAGGTCCCAGAACCAGTCCTGGCTGCTACACAAATCTTCTCTGGGCCTGGAAGCTACTCTGCCTGCCTGGGTGACCTGGGCTGTGGGAAGCTCTGAGGCTATCTGGCTTGAGGGATTTTGCTTCTGTCAGGGCCCAAGTTCAGGACCTTTCCCTTCCCCTTCCATCTCTCCAGGGCTCCCAGATATTGGCAGCTACTTACAATCAGGCTGCCCAGCTCTGGAAGGTGGGGGAGGCACAGTCCAAGGTAAGGCGTGACTGAGGAAGCAACCTGGGGTTCAGGGGTCATATGTTGGACCCCGGGGGAGGTGTTATGGAGTCTTGGCCATCCCCTTGATCCATACCTGGGATGTGGGGGCAGGAGACACTGTCTGGACACACAGACAAGGTGACGGCTGCCAAATTCAAGCTAACAAGGCACCAGGCGGTGACTGGGAGCCGAGACCGGACAGTGAAGGAGTGGGACCTCGGCCGCGCCTACTGTGAGGTCCAGCCCTTTCCTCTCCCTCCCTACCTGCTGGCACCCCAGGCCGGGTCAAGAATACTTCAGCCTGTTCTCTGGGAGTGGCTCCAAGATTCACGGGCATTTGGGGTGAAACCTCTCAAGGCCTGTCCTTCTCTATCCCCCATCAGTGCTTTTTTTTCTGCCTGGTTTCTTGGTGACTTCAGGCTTTGGGCTGGGAAGCAGAGGATCTGGGTTCTAATTTGGGGAGGATGCTACCTCTCTGGGGCTTCTGGGCTTCTAACAACCCTTTTCTGAGGCTAGGGCTCTAATCCTTGGTCCCCCAGGCTCCAGGACCATCAATGTCCTTTCGTACTGTAATGATGTGGTGTGTGGGGACCATGTAATCATTAGTGGCCACAATGACCAGAAGATCCGGTTCTGGGACAGCAGGTGATGGGCATGGGCTGTGGGTGGTCGAGGCATGGGACAGGCATCTTGTGTTCTCTTTCCTTTCTTTGGACATGGAGCCATGGAGGCTGTGGTGGCCTGTCTGTGCTGGGTTTGGCCCCTTGAAAGCTCCACTGCCCCTGGGGACCTGTGCCACCGTTTTAGTGGCTCTTGGTCCGACTGCTGGACTCTGCCTGGGCCTTGCCAGCCAAGCCCCCTTTCCACTTAGTTACCGCTTTTTAATCAAAGGGAACAAAAGTTTTCGTTGTTTTTTAAATCTGAGAGCTCAACACTGGGCTTGGATGGTTTATAAAAGCCAGTGCTGGAGCCAGTGCCAGGCATGCCTGAAGCTCCTCCTTCCTGGTGTATGGTGATTGCCACGTGAACCCCCTTGCTCTCTTTCACACAATTAAAGGCAACTCTCATGGTTTTCCCTCCAGCACTTATTTTAGTGACCCAGGGGTTTCGAGGCCTCCAGCTTTGAGTCAAAGGCTGCCTAAGATTTTGTTGGAGAGGCTGGCTGCAGTGGGAGAAGGGAGATTAGTCAGTGTCAGCCCTGGCCCCAGTGATATGACAATGGGGCACTTCTGGACTCTGTTAACCTGCAAGGAGTGGCCCGGGTGGGCTGCTTCTCATCCATGCTTTTGTCTTTGCTCCTTAGGGGCCCCTGCTGCACCCAGGTCATCCCTGTGCAGGGTCGGGTCACCTCTCTGAACCTCAGCCATGACCAGTTGCATCTGCTTAGCTGTTCCCGAGATAACACACTCAAGGTCATTGACCTTCGTGTCAGCAATATCCGCCAAGTGTTCAGGTACCTGCCTCGTGCCCACTGACACTGTGGCTTTGGCTGGGGCAGCTGGGTCTCTCAGCCCTTGTTAAGGGTCCTTCTGGACCTGTTAGCGGGGGACCCATCCTGGAGGCCCTTCTGGACCAGGGCCCGCTGAGGTGCCCAAGCCCTTGATGGACAGAAGAAGCTCTTGAAGCTCCTGGCCAAGGGCAGGGATTGGCAGCCACATTCGTTCTGACCCCTATCTTGTCTGTCTTCAGGGCTGATGGCTTCAAGTGCGGTTCTGACTGGACCAAAGCCGTGTTCAGGTATGTCTGTGAGAGCACATGCCTGTGCCAGAGTGTGCCCCATCTGATCACGTCTGTCGGTGTCTGCGTCATCACCTCTGATCATCTCTTGCTTGTTCTGCTGTGGCCACTGCAGTCCAGATAGAAGCTACGCACTGGCAGGTTCCTGGGATGGAGCCCTTTACATCTGGGATGTGGACACTGGGAAGCTGGAGGGCAGTCTACGAGGACCCCACTGGTGAGCATAGCTACCACCTGCCCAGGGCCAGTGCCATCCTGGCCCCACTGCTGCTAAGCCAGTAACAGGTTCTGACATGTTTGGGACCCTGGAGGCCCTAGTCCTTGTCCCACACCTTCCACCTCCCAGAGCCCTTCTTGTTCACAAGGTGCTTTCCCATGTGCACGTGGGTCCATCTTCACCACAGCCCCGTGAGCCCACTTTATAGGTGAGGCAGCAGGCTCAGAGGGAGCCTCAAGCTGCCGGCATCCCATAATGAGGAGTGGAGCCCAGCCTGCAGGCCTGGCTCCCGATGCCTCCCTGAAGCCTGCCTCCCCTCTCCTCCCCTCTCCTCTCCTCAGCACTGCTGTCAACGCCGTGGCCTGGTGCTACTCTGGGAGCCACGTGGTGAGCGTGGACCAGGCCAGGAAGGTTGTGCTCTGGCACTAGTGCCATGACTCCTGCCTGGGCTGGAGCTCTAGTCTAAAGCCTGAAGCCAGAGGACAGCTTCCCGCTGCTCACAGGGCTCCAGAACCAGTGGGGGTGGGGATAGGGTGGAGGTGGCGGTGGCTTTAGGGCATTTAGTGGTGAATAAGGCCTGGCAGGACCTGGCCTGTCTGTTGAAGAGCAAAGTGTGTGTGGTGGTGGGGGGGGGGGGGGGGGGGGTGTGTGAGGCGGGTTAGTTTTGTTTGTTTGTTTGAAATCCCTGACTTCTTTCGCTGACAAAAGTGAAAAAAAATTGCATCTAAACTGGTGTCTGCTTGCCTTTTTGCAGCATTCAGGTAGCAGAGAGATCTTTGGGCTGGTGGCTCCTGGACACCTGTGCTTGGCTCCCTTTCCTCCTCCTGCACAGAGCTGGGGCAGAGCCAGTCTGGCCTCAGTGCTGTTCATGTCTGAGGAGAAGGCATGAAGAAAGGCTCAGAGGTGACAAAGGGCAGTGGCTCTTGGAGCCATGGAAATTTCACCCTTGGTCCAGGCTGGTCCAGAGGCCAAGCCAATACCTTGGGTCCTCCTGCTTCAGGAGGGTAGACTGAGCTGTGGAGGGGCCATGGGAGTTTGAGGAAGGGAGCAGGGGAAGCAGCCCAGAGGGGCTCTGGTGGAAAGGGTTCTAATAAACCAGAGAGTGAGGTCAGGTACTTAGTATACCAGGCCTGCCTTTAGATGGGGGCATGTTCTTGCTCCAGAGGCAGAACCCTGAGTGAATGGGGAATAGCCTGAGTATGTCTGTGTCTTGGGGAGGGCCCCCATGGGCTGGGCCTGGGTTGGGGCTTGTCGGCATGACAAGCCTCTGTGGTACTCGGCAGACCCGACAGGGCAGAGCCTGCGCACCCCAGTTCCTTTGTCAACTTCAGGTATGGAGGAGTCATCAGCAGGACAGCCATTGCCAGTCACAAGGCAGTCACAGGAAGAGACCTTTGTCCCTGAGTGATGGAGCCTTACTTTTGGGATTCTGCCCATCTGAGATTCAAAGGCTTCAATCCAGAATTATCGGTTTTCTCCTTTATCACAGTAGAAAGTCTCCCTGGGGGGGGACTTTGCCATTTCCAGAATTTGGAAACCATTCCCAGGATGAACAGCAGATTGCTGAGAGCCTGAACTCCACAGCCAGGCTGTCTGGGTTTGAATCTCAGCCCACTATTTAGTAGAGTGGTTTTGAGCAGGTTCCTTAATAACTTTGTGCTTTGGTTTCCTCCTCTGTGAAATGGTACGCACCTCAGAGGTTGTTAGAAAGACTCAGTGTGTTGGTATCTGTGAAGCTCCTGGCACGTGCCAAAGGCTGAGTGTTGATTGAATACCCAGTCTACACTCTGCTGACTCTCAGCTCACTCACTGCTCTTGGCCCAGCTGTCCCCTGAGCTCTGGGTGACATACCCACCTGCCTCCTGGACATCTCTCCCCCTGACATAAGCGTCTCTTTCCCTCACATCCCACATCCTCTGGCACCAAGGCCTGGAGCCTCTAACCTGGCTGCAATGCAGGCCACCTTCTCCTAGTCTCGTCTCTCCTCCCAGAACCCTCTTTGCCAAGGCCGGAGTGTCTTTCTAAGATGGCATGCTCACAGGTACAACCCTCTAAAGTTCCCAGGCTGCCTGCAGAGAAACTTGACATTAAATTCAAAGACCTTAGGAGCCAGCCCGTCGACCTCAGCTGCATCTTCATTTCCTTGCTACTCTGTTTTACACATGGACTTTCCCTCTGCCCAGAATGTTCTTCCCTCCCACCCCAGTTCCAATTTGTCTTTCGGATCTTCTCACTGAGAGCCTTTGATCGTTTACCAGGCTGGCCAGGGGACTCCTCCATTCTTGTGTTCATTGGTGTCTCCTTCCCTCGGGAGCTCTTGGAAGATGCCAGGATGGGAACAGAGTATTCCTTGGGATTAGGCCTGGCACAGAGAGGGTCTGAGAAGTGTCTATTAAATGGCTAAACTCTCTTACTCAAGGACTCAGTACATTTAACAGTTGACGCTGGGAGTGTAGTATTATTCCAGCCTGACTCCTGAGGGGCTGACACTCTTCCCATCCTGTCCCAGCCCTCTTGTCCTGGCTTCTAGTGGCCACCAGGAGTCACCAGCTGCTTACTGTCTGCCGGGCCATTCTCCAGTCTCCTGGGATTCATGGCTGGAAAGACCAGTGCCTCCAGTAACCACCATTACTTTCGTGCTCATGTGTCAGGCACAGTGCTCTGCACTTTTCATGCAGTAGTTTATTCCTCCCAACCTCCTGGTGGGGTATCTTTCATAGGTGATAAAATTGACAGGTATTATGTGAGGTCATACAGCTGGCACAGCTGGATTGTAACATGTATATGTTTTAACAAAATAACATTTTGAGAATCTGGGCTTCCATTTACACAAGATCAGGGCATCTTCCCCCTGCTCCCCAGTGCCCGAGGGGTATGTGCTCTGCCCCCACCATTGGTGGGAGATTCTAGCTTTGTGTATCCTAAATCCCTCCCTGCATCCTCTCTTCTGTTTTCCATCTGGGCCCTGGTCACCTACGCCTGAGTCTGGAGGGTCAGTGTCCCTTGAAGTGAGGGACATGCAGCCCCCAAAAGTGAAGCGAACTTGAATCCTGGGAGGCCGTTACTGGCTACACCATTTGGGGGCTGGTACCTCACAGGACTGCAGTGAAGGCTACTTAGATAATCCAGAAAAGGTGCTCAGAGATGACTTCACTCACTCTAGGGCCAGCCACCCCTCTGCTCCCCGTAAACCTTTCCTTCTTTGTGGGGCCACTCTGATAGCACCCTTGGAGTGCTCACCTCAGGGAGCACATGTATACCAACAGCTTACTTGGAATGCTTCTGGAGGAGCCAGTCTGGAAGGCCAGCCACAGGCCAAGGAGGTGGGCATAGCTGGCAAAGACCGAGCAGGGGAAGAGCTCAGAGGAGAGTGGTTGGGAAGGTTGTACCTCCATCTAGTCTTTGAAGTCTCTGGTGGGGATAGAATCCAGGGGCTAAAAACCTCTCTAGGTCTTTCGTATCCTCCAGCTCTCCAGTCTGCATACCTTGCAGGTTTTCAGTACTTGGGCTGCATGCCTGAGTTGGGGTCTCTAATATCAAAACTGGAATACCCTTTCTCTTGCTGTGCACATGGATTGAGGCCCAGAGAGGAGCCAGGGTCTTGTGCAGGGTCATAGCAGAGCTGGGGTAAGGACTCAGCTGATTCCTCTTTTCTGAAAATTACCCTCAGGTTCTGCAGAGAGGAGCTGGCCTGGTCTTCGGATACCCAGTTCTAGGTTCTGCTCCGAGTGGTCTTTCTGAAAGACCTTGGGCAAATCGCGGTGTCTTCCAGGGGAAGGATTTTCCCCATCTGTGAGACTTCCTGCCCCACAGCTCTGGGCCTCACAAAAGATGTCACAGCTCATCCCCGGGGGGGGTTCTGTAAGCCTGCCCTGTCCAATCTCAGGCCTCAGTGAGCCTGAGACTAGACAGCAGCTCCTGCTGCCTCTCGGTCATCTCCCTGGAAGACACACCTCAGCTGGAGTCTGCTGTTCCTGACTCTCCCCTACCAGATGTGAGCCCCTTGGTGACAGAGATGAGATCAGAGTCACTTATGTCTCCAGTAGACAGAACAAGACCTGGGGTGGTCAGTTTGCTGACTGGACAAATAGGAATTGAACAGAGGTGGTCTTGGCCCTTAGAAAGTTTTCTGGAAGAATCTTGGTGGCACCAGGTATGGACCCACCTGTGAGAGTTGGCATACCATGTCTGGGTACAGGCTTGTTCCCTTTCTCTGGACACACATCTGGTCAAAAATATTTTCATTTTATCTGCTCAGTATTTTTGTTGATCCTCCTGGATCTTAAGAAGCAGTTTGTATTGCCTTCTCATTCCTACTTTACAGATGAGGAAAGCAAGGACTAGAAAGGTGAAGAGATGAGCCTAAGGCCACAGCTAATCGAGGTGGCCAGGGACCTGAATATGGGCATTCTGACCAGGATCTCCCTATGCCCCTCACAGGACCAAGGGCGTGACGAGAACAAGAAGGCTGCTTAGGTGTTTAGCACACAGTGTGGAAAGGGTGTGAACCCTATTTGTGGGTCCATCTGTTTTTTCAGGATTACACTCCGGGAAAATATTCCCAGACTAGAGAGCTCTCAGAAACAGACATGAGAGAAGTACTTCATTTGTTGTTTTGGCCAACGGGACCAGGGGAAAATGGTCCAGGAACAGGATGCTCTTTGGCATTCACAGGGTTCTTGGATCAACAGTGACAGAGCAAACAGGGAGAGTCTAGGAGGAAACTTAATTCTGGTTGTGTCAGGTTGCAGGATTTCAGGACAAATTACAGTTCTCCCCCTTCTAAACTAAAATTTCTAGAACTTGGTTGTGGTTTTGTCATAAAAACCTCTTTGTAATGAGCAAAATAAACGCAAAGATTCCAAGCAGCTAGATTTTGTTGTAAAGCTACTCAGTTAATCAGGCAGTAATTGGCTCCGTAACTGAGGGCTGTGGCTGGACCCCGGGCAGCAAGGGAATAGTGCAGCCCAGGATGTGATTACAGCCCAGAGGAGGGTTTGCTTTCTCTCGGTGGACAGTCCAATGGCTTGAATTTTCTTTTTAGTTTCTGGCCATCCTGAGAAGTCTGTGTGCTCGGTTCTCAAATACTGTGACCTTTTTGTTTGGTGTTTTCATTGTGTCTAAAAACTGAACTCATGTAGCACGAAGTGTTGGATAAGCCCTTAGAAATCATTCCACTCCGGGGCGCCTGGGTGGCGCAGTCGGTTAGGCGTCCGACTTCAGCCAGGTCACGATCTCGCGGTCCGTGAGTTCGAGCCCCACGTCGGGCTCTGGGCTGTTGGCTCAGAGCCTGGAGCCTGTTTCCGATTCTGTGTCTCCCTCTCTCTCTGCCCCTCCCCCGTTCATGCTCTGTGTCTCTCTGTCCCAAAAATAAATAAACGTTGGAAAAAAAAAAAATTTAAAAAAAAAAAAAAAAAAAAAAAAAGAAATCATTCCACTCCTTTCAAAGCTGGGGATGCAGCGGCCCAGAGGGAAAGGTCACCCATCAAGTGGTAGCAGGGCTAAAGCCAGCTGATATCCTCCCACTTGCATATCTGTCTGGCTTATGGGTGTGGGCTAGGGTCGAAGGTCAGAGAGGAAAGGGTTCCAGGCGATATGCGGTGAATCTATGGCTTCATTGCTTTACAGTTAGTTCCTCTGATGACGGAGGCCAAAATTTAGCTGTGATGCTGGGGTGGGGCAATTAGCTTAACTCTGCCCCCTTATCACAGACTAAGCCCCTGCTGCCAATAGCAATCTCAAATGTGAACACCTTTCATTAGCAGGGGAAGGCAGAAGATGGAAAGGGTATTGAATGTGGTATTTAATACCTACCTACGTGCACCTACCTTCCCTTGACAACCTTGTGACTATGAGGCTGGAAGAAAGGAGCTCAGCTGTAGATCACTAAAGGTGGGGGAGGTGATGGCGAGGAATATTGGTGTTTGGTGGTGACCACCTGTGCTACAGACTTGAGGTATCCTTCTTGGATCCACAGTGTTATCCTCAAGTTTCCATGAGGATGTTGAGGCTCAGTTCCCACAGTTGTCAAGTGAGAGCCAGGATTGAACTGAGACCTTCTGACTCCACAGTCGATGCTGTTGTCTCTTATGCTGCTGGTGGGAGTGTTAACAGACACAATCATTTTGGAGGCCAATTTGGCAAAACCTAACAAAACTAAATGTCCATATAGCTTTTTTACTTTCAAATTCCATATTTGGGAATTTACCCAATATTTTTACTGGAACAAATTTATAAAGAATCATGTACAAATATGGTAATTTCAACTTTCTAACAGCAAATGGATGGATACAACCTAAACGTCCATCACTATAGGAGGCTTAAAATTGTGATATATCCAAACCATGGAGAATATAGCCTTCGAAAAGAATGAGGTAAACCTACTAAATATACAACCCCACATATGTAAAAAGGTAATGTGTACATGTATGAGTTTTATGTACAGAAAATGTCTGGAAGAATACATATTGCATGTGCCCAGCCCTGGGAAGAGGAGAGCTGTGGGGCCCCTCCCCAAACACACTGAGCCTTGGTCCTTGGTGTGGCTGGCTGGCAGCCAGAGGGACTTAGCCTTTAACTGGGAATTCACTTCCCTCTCTATCTGTTTTATGGTTTAAAAAAGGAGGGCCTAGGGATATCTTTATAAAAAAGCATTGTCTATTTGGAAGGTCTATTTACCTAAATCTTTTTATAAGGAAACTTAGAAAACTTAATTCCATTTTTTTTAATTATTCAACATTTTATACATAATAAATACAAACTTTTTACAGCCACTGTAAAGAAAGCACATCTGCACAGAGGCACTCCCTCCAAGCCTGGCCCTGTGCACTGTGATGCTTGATTACATGTCCTGGAGGGAGGGGTTCTTTTTAAAAAGGAGGCATATTTTTACAACTTTGTTTTTTTAAAATAAAATTAGCAGCTCTTCCAAAAAATATTTTAAAATATAACAAAAGATTTCAAATAAGTCTCTGAGAATGTGGAAAATCCAGATTCAAGGACAATTTGGCTAGCTAAAGAGAGAATACAAGACTGGGTAGCGAGAACTGCCTGATTTAAGCACTTGGAAGATTTTGTAAAGTGCTTTGAAGATTTTTAACATGTCAGAGAACTTTAAAATCTTAAAAAACCACCCTTTTAATTTCTTTTTTAAACTTAAGAATAAGTTTGATAAACACAAAAAGACCTCAAATAGATCAACAGGTTAAGAAATGCAAAAAACGAAACAAAAACCCCAAATTACGGAGAAGACTCGTCGCTGGGTACTGTCACTGAAGTGATCAAATGACTAACTGAAGATTTCTTCAGCTATAACCTGACTTTTGGTAAAAAATCCCATGGGGACATTTGGCGAGCATTTCAAGTTTTAAAGATTCTTAGAAGGGATGGAGTTTTCAAAGCATAATACAACTTTTAGATTAAATTCTGCAAATCTGATTTCTTAAACAAAAACAAAAACAAACCAACTGGCAAAATCCCTTCGTCCCTAGGTTCGGCACTCCCTATCTTCCACAGGAGGTGGAGAGCCGACAGAGCCCTACCCTGGGCCACCTGCTACCGTGAGCTTGCTAGCCTGCGGAGAAAGCTACTCTTGGCTCTCCCTGCGACATGGAGAACTTGTCTTTTCCTTATCAGTTTGCACTTGTGCAGGGTGTGCAACCCTTTAGTCCTTTTCCATGAGAAGCTGGTTTCCATGAGCCACAGGTTGTTCCTCCTAAGGAAATATGTCAGGTCAGTGGGACCTGGGAAGCTGCACTTTCGTGGGGGGTGGCCACCGGTCTAGAGCAGCCACAGGCTGGCTGTCAGGACTTGTGCACTGGTTTGGGAATAAAATGACGTGAGGGGCCTCCCTAGCAGAGAAGCTCAACAAGGCAAGTATGTGTCCCCAATTTACCTAGACACTCAGATTCTAAAGGTACTGGTCAGAAGAATATATGCTGCAAAAATTAAGATGAAAAATACCCAAATACAAAAAGAACATTAAATCGGCTCATTTCAGATCTGGAAGTTCCATTTCTGCTTCAGCCGCAGCCTCCTTTCTATTAAGTCTATGTGATGGACAAGATTTGGCTATTAGTTCAGCCCCTCCATATTAGCTCCACTAATACTAAATGAATGCCATAAATATTAATACAAAGGACACTGTTACTGTTTTAAATCTGTTAGTTGTGGAAGAGATGTGCATTAATGAAATTGGCGATAAACTCAGGGCAGTCCACTTTTTTCCAATAAGGTTTCACTTTTCTCGGTCTGGGGACTAACTGTGGGGAGGAGCCAGCCTCTCCTGAAATCCCTCCTTCTAATTCCTTACGTAGCCAACATGATCTGATTAAACTCAATCAGACGAGCAAAAGCCACTTGAAGAAAGATGAGGATCTTTGCCACATCCTTGTGGCCACAGTAATATACTGTACGAGTGCACATGATCAGTTTCTCTGTGACCGTGCCCTGAGTGAGTCCTGGTCTTGAGTCTCATATAAAAATGGACCACTGTTAGGCATGAGGGCTGTCCTCCTCTGCTTCTAGGGCCCGCTAGGATTTGTGCTATGGTAGGAGAGATGACATAGAAAATGACAACAAAAAAAGGCACAAAATATTCAAAACGTGGGAGGAGTCCACCAGGCCACCCGGTCACATAATCCTCCTTGTTTTTGCTCCGTTCAAGAGTCATCATCATGCAAAGGTGCCTAAAAAACAAGAGTGGCCAAACGCCAAGCCTGGCCTTGATTGTAGCAGTAATGGATGGGCAAACCCATCATCACACCAGTGTGATTTCCACATCCTCAATCTTCTCTGCTGGCCTTCGGTGGTTCTGTGTAGGTGGAGGGGGAGCTGCCCGGACCTGAGCAAGGAACAAATACATGGATTGTTAGCTCCCTGATTCAGTGCTTGAAGCATCGAAACCCCAACCAGTCATTTATCCACAGACATGGGTACCCCAGGGGTCTCACAAATGCTCTTAACGTGAAAGCGTGTGCTTCCAACGTAATTCTCACTATTTCCCACACCAAGGAGTTAACTGTTCTGATGAAATGTGGAACCCACAAATCAGGGTCTTGCCTAGGCTGAAAGCTTCATGGGCACAAGAGTCACTGTAGCTCCAAAAGGCTCATCCAAAGCAAAGGCCTGGAGGTGGAACCCAGAGAGAGCAATGCTTGGGGAACTGAAAACCTTTTGGCCTGTCTTGGAAGGAAAGCTGCAAGAGATAAGACTGGAGATGTAGCTTGGGGTGAAGTCATGAAGAGCCTCATTAAGCCACGCTAAGGAAATCTGAGCTTTACTCTGTAGGCAAAGAGGAGTCTTTGGTGGAATTTTAAACAGCAGGAGCAGATATGTGAAAGGATGACTAGGATAATAGTTTGGAAAAAGAGTGGAGGGCAAGAGTGGGCAATAGTGTAGGTAAGAAGACAATTTAGGAGGCTCTTGTAGTCATGTGAATCAGAGTTGATGTCAGCCTGACCTAGGAATTGGTGGGGGGGGGGGGCATGGGAGGAGTGGGGCAGGGAGGAGAGAAGTGGGAGTATTTGATAGAGGTCTCTAAGGTACATGTGGCAGGAATTGGTGATGACTTTGTGGGAGGTAGGGCTAGAAAGCTATCAAGAGTGAGGTCAGAGCAGTGGTAGAATGGGGGTTCCGCTCACCAAGCAAGGCAATATGGAAGGAGTGTGTCTGGCAAGGTGGATAATTAACTCGTTGCTGAGTTTTGGGGCTTTGGTACATATACAGTGAAATGTCCACAAGGCTGAAGCTCAGGGAAGAGACTGGATTGGCAATTATGAGACTAGGGGTTGTCGGTAAATAAATGGTTATCAAAACCATGGGAGTAGATAAGATTGTACGGGGAGAATGAGAGTGAATTTAATGACTTCAGGAGAAGCAACCCATGGACAGAACCCTGAGAAGCATCAGCAGAGATGGGCTGAAGCAGAGAAGCCCATACAGGTCAATGAAAAGGAAGGGCCAGAAAGTAGAGAGCAAACCAGGAAAGGGCAGTGGAACAAACTGGCTCACTTCTCATTCTCACTCTTATCCACCAGTCTATGTCACCATCTTGCTTGAACCACTGCTCCAGTCTCCTAATGGCTCCCATGTCCCTTCTGCCACCTTCCATTCACTCTCACTTAGAAGCCACAGCAATGTTTCAAAATGGAAAACCAGTCACATCACTGTCCTACTTACAACTCTGCAATGGCTAAGAACCAAGTCCTTAACAAGGCACTCAGTACACATCTGCTGAATTAGCCAAAGGAAGTAAGTGGTTCAAGGAATGGTGTCAAATGCTGATAAGCAAGTCAAGGAAAATAAATGTACTGGATGAGTGTGGGAAAGTTATGACCTTGGAAGGGCTGTTTCACAGTGAGGTGGTGGGGTAGAGTGAGGGATGAGTAGAGGTGATTATTCGTAAGAGATTCTCCTTGAGAATAGAAGCTCTTAAACTTCAAAAGGACATGAAGTATATCTCATTTCATCTCTGTGTTCCTCATAGAGAGAAATATAAGCTTGCAAAATAATTTATCAATAAATGTTTGCTGGAAAAAAACTGCTTGTTTCACACTTAGACCACTTTAATGCTTGCTATAATTTAAATACACCTTTCATAGCTATCTCACCATAGCTCAGTAAAAAAAAACTACCAGTCTAGACTAGACCTTCCAAGATGTGTTGAGTTTTTAAAAAATATTTATCTTGAGAGAGAGAAAGAGAGAGCACTCGAGCAGGGGAAGAGGCAGAAAGAGAGGGAGAGAGAATGCCAAGTAGGCTCCGCGTGATGCTTAACTGACTGAGCCGCCCAGGTGCCCCTGCATGTATTTTTACAGACTTCATTTTCAAGAGCTCTTTTTATCTTCCCAAACTCATATGATCCTTGCGTGGGGGAATCAGCATAACACAGAGGCCACAGGGAAACATTAACTGCTAACTTTCAATTTGGAAGAACTGCATTCTATAACAGGTAAGATAAGAGACTTACGGGTCGCAGTTTGCCATATGAGGTCTCAGGAGTATGCCTTGGTGCCTGTGAGCATCCCAGCGATTCGGTATGGAAGCTGTTTTCTAAGGGAGGGAATCAAGCAGCTCATTTTATTTGTGTTGTTGGGCAATAAAAATGCTAATAACAAATCTGTTTGCTCTTCAGGTAAACATGTGGATTTCTGAATAAAAATGTATTTAGATCCATGCCCAGGAAAACCCTTACCATTTGCTGAGGGAGAGCGTGGGAAGTACTGGGAGCTCCTCTTATCGGGGCTGGGGTAAGGGCTGCTGGGAGGCTGGTCATACAGCGGCAGTGGAGGCAGGGAGCCTGGTGGCTTGGGGGAAGGAGAGATCTGCCACAAAGGAAAGAGATTACAAAGTGCTCACCTCAGGAAGCTTGAGAGGCAAGTTGGCTTCCCTAATTCAGACATGTTACTTTTCTCTGCAGCTAAGTTATGACTATCAACAATTTTGGTCAGCCTCATCAGAAGCACATGAACTTAGAATAACCACCACAAATCCCAATTTTGTGATGCATTTAACTTTTTCTCCTCAGAGAGCTCATTATACTACTGATTTTAGTCAAACCATTCTCTAGAGTTCTACTGAAAACACACTAAATCAGTCAATGCAATAAATCTAGTGAAGAAAAAAAAGGGGACAAATTCTATTTTTTTGTGTTAAGAAAATAATTGGCTGTTTTCGACTTCCCCAAATTTTGTAAATGTCAAACTAAGTGTTCACAATACCACACACACAAGATGGGGAGACATGTTCCTTATGGTCCTGGGCCTGCCACACCTGCTATGACAGATCTGAATTAGGGTTTCCCGTAAAGGCAAGTTTTGCTATGATCAGCTGAGCCTAGAGCCATATGAGTATAATGGGGCTCTGCCATTAGTCCTCTGAAATGGACTGGCAGGCAGGCTCTGACAGTGGTGGATAGAAGGCAGTATTTTTACTATATAAACTAACTGCAGAGACAATAAATTCCCTCTCTGGTTTCTTTCTCTCTACCAAACCACTTTTTTGTATGTCACATACAACTTATCATTTTGGTTAACTGATTCAGAGAAAAGAAAGTGGGCAAATGGAGGTGTTATATGGCCATTACCCAAGAGCCAGGTTGATGAGTCTCTGCTTTTCCAAACCCAATTTTTTGCATAAACGTGGCAACCGAGGACTGGAGTGGGGAGGTGGGGCTGAGATTGCAGCCTGTGTTTGCATGGGTCAGCCACCTCTTGGGAGTCATTTTCTTTAACCACCTTTTAATTCAGCTTCCTCCCCTCTCATGTACCTGAATCTCTCTCATCCACGGAGTGTCACCATTTTCTGAGGCTGAAAGTTCTTCCACTAGCACCGATGGGAAGACTCCAATCCGCCCACTGAATTCCCCTTCCCAGAAGCCATCGTCATCCTGGTTTTCTTTGTTCAGGATTCGGATGATTGCCCCCTCAGGAAAGGATAACTCATCATCTGTTTGGCCCTCATAGTCATAAAGTGCTTTCACGAAACAGACTAGGTAGGAAGAGGGAGAAAATGCAGTAAGAACACGGACAGCCAGGTTCCTTTTGCAACCACCCCTATGCTCACGTGGCAACTAAAAGAGGATCATACAGAGTAAGAGTAATTTTTTTTACTCACTGAAGATCAACTTCAGGGTTCTACCCTACAGGATAAATGTGACCAAATTATGGAAAATATATCATAGAATAGGAATAAAGATATGCTTTTTAACCTACGGAAGGCTGACTCCAGGGCAATACCGTTTAGGCCAAAATGTGACCAAATAAAGAGTGCCTTGTTTCAGTCTTTACCACTGGCATCTCCGTTGAGGCTGCCTGAAACGAGCTCGGCCTCCGTGGAATTGCTGGATGTGTGTGACCGACTGTCCAAAGCAGCCAAGGACTGCAGCATGCTCAGTAGACTGTTCGAGGTGGGAAACTGTAGGTACTTTTCTGGCACATAACCCACTTGGCCAACTTTATTTCGAGCCTGAGTAAAAGACATGTGACAAAATAGGTTTGCACACACAATCTGGACAGGGCAAAACAAGAACCAAAACAAACTCCTAAAATGTCACAAGAAGGGGCGATATGAGCAAAGGAATATACCTTTACCCAGTCTTCCATATCTCCATCTTCAATCACTTCTAACACCTCATGTTCCTCAATGGTCAACTCATCTGGTTGAGAAGCCTGCAATGTAGGATGGTCATGGACAAAATTAAAAAGGTTAGATAAAGAGCAGATGTGCGCTGATCATAACAAAAACTGGGGATCAAAATATTGAAATGATTTTGAAAAACATACCAAACATAAAAATTTAGGTGTTGTAAAACTATCGTAATGAGGTGAAGTTTTACTTTAAAAAATTAAACAAAATAAAGCCACAGCAAAAACTGGAGAAACGGAATCCTCAAGAGACAATCAGGTGCAGTGAACATAGCACTCTGCTGGAAGCAGGGGACCAGGGTTCCAGCTCCAGCTTGTTTCTATTGGTTATTCAACTTCTTGATGCCTCCATTTCTTCAAAATGACAATCCTGCCATTCTGGGGAGGATGAGGGAGTCAATGTGGGATGAATAAGCTGAGAACCATGATGATCTGTGAAGCACAGGCACAGGAGCAAGCGCTGAATTAGAACGGCACCGGAGGGCTACCATGGAAGCGCAGGCCGTGAAAATGCAGAGAACTATGTACATGGATTGGATGACAGCTTGAGCAGCGCCTAGAACTGATCTGGAATCGCTGTGCGATAAACAATGGCCAGGAGAATTAGAGTTGCAGGAAAGAAAATGGCTGAGATCGTCCACAATTTGGATTTATTATGCTCTAACTTAACTGTGGAGAATGGGCTGATCCACTTAGATGCTTTTGTACAGGATGCTAACTGTGATGGTTTTATGGTCTCTGACGCAGGAGTTCACTTGCGCTGGCCACCCAGATACTGCTCCCGAGACTGCAGAATCTGAGCGCAACCTCTAAGGGGCTCAGCAGAGAGGCTGGAGAGAAACTGTGTGGCTTTGTTTCCTAAAGAGACTTGCCGGTCACATGTAACAGGGCGGGGCCTGCTAGCATCTTCTGGTTCTCTGGTGAGCAGTCTTAAAAGCATTCCCGAAGTCCCAAGATTAGTAACAACTATATAACCAAACTGTAAGACCCTACAGTTTTTCAAATCTCACAATCTCAATGTGTAAAGTATCTCCAGGTTATGCAAGAAAATGGGTCACATTACTAAGCCTCATTTCCCATTTTGTGTACATTATAATACTTTATTAAACCCAGATTCTGGATGTTGCCATAGCTGCTTGAGATGTTAAAATAGTATTGAAAATGGCTGACCAGTCACAGAAATACTCCAGGACCAGAATTTTAAGTAAATTACCTCTGATCTCAAAACATGAGGATAAAAGGCTCATTGATTCATGATAGCTTTTCCAGTGGGATTTCTTCACTAATCCAAAAACACACTATGCTTTGACTATGCCAGGAAAAGGCACCCATATAACAAAAACATTTTCCTTAATTCCACGGTAAGACTTAAAAAGTAACAACACAACCTGACTTCAGTGTGTGTGAGAACCAAAGCAGGAAGGATAAGAACACCTTTAAGTTTAAGTATACCGCTGCCCTTGTAAAAAAGTCAGGGAGGTCCATGCAAGTTGTTCAGTGCTGTTATAGAATATCAGCAGACACCAACCCCACACAGTAATCTATGCTTCCACTTGACAAGGTCACGTCCTCTGCATGGCAACTCAAGACTCTACAGAGTTTGGTCACCATGGTTTCTCAAAGGTTTGGCCCCATACACTATCGCCTATTCTCTGAACACACCATGTTATTCCTTGCCTCTATGCTTTTACCAGACTGTTTCTTTTTTCCAGCAGGCCCTGCTCTCTCTTTCCCATCTGGCAAACAGATTTAGATTACTGTGGATTCAAGTCCAGTTTCAGTCTGTTTCTAAGGGCAAGTGTTCATAAGATCTCTCTGAGCGTCAGTTTTCTTTTCTATTCCTATTAGAATGTAAGCTCCATGAAGGCAGAGATTTTTGTCTGTAATTGACCAATGCCATGTCCTCAAACTTAGAAAAGAACAGGACGGTACACGGAAGGTACTCAATATTTGTTGATTTAATGGGTTTGTTGATAATATCTTCCATATTGAGTTATTAAAGAGATTAGAAAAACATAAATATGGTACCAGGCATACAGTATTTCACAAATGGTAGCTATTAGAATTACTCATGATTTGAGGCCCAGCTCATATGTTTTTCCAGACCACTCCCAAGGAGCTGGTTGCTTCTTCCTTCTTTTGTTGTAAGGCTTTGCACATCTCTCTAATGAGAACTACCATGGCACTCTACTTAGTTGTTTGCCCTTGTAGGGTTCCCACTAGAATGACTTATGCAGGGAATGTAATTCTTCTCATTTATCCCAACTGAAGTCAGCAAGTGGTCAGGAAATGTTTTTTAAATAAACACGTGGTCTCACACTGCCCCCTGAAATCCTAATATCCAGGGACGACCAGAACTGTAGAAGCGGCCAAGTCCTCCATTCCCACCACTACCTCTCTAAATTTCCTATTTTCTTTGAAAACAGTATACTTTTTCCTGATTATAAAAATAATACATGTTCACTGTAGAAAAGCTGGAAATATGCATAACTCAAATCTTAAGGTACACGAGCATTTTATTCTTCTGGCATAACATATCATTTCTTCTTACATAAAAAAACTTTCAAGGGCGCCTGGGTGGCGCAGTCGGTTAAGCGTCCGACTTCAGCCAGGTCACGATCTCGCGGTCCGTGAGTTCGAGCCCCGCGTCGGGC